AATGCAAGATTCCTCATAAGTTTGTCTACCTTTATCAAAAAAAAAAATGTGTTCCATAAAATCAAATTTAAATTATATGAGTGTTTTAAGTTAATAATTGTACAACATTGGATTTCGTTCATTTTCATTTTTTTTTTTTTAACATTCATTCGACTTCTCATGTAGCGATTTTCTTATTTTGTTGCAATTAAAAAAACGAAGAACTGTAGTTACATGCAAATTTCGCTAAATGTTTTTCACGGTGCTTTTGAAAACTACTTTAAAATTTTTACTTATGTCCCCCCAAAGTAACAACTAGCACTTTCCTATCAGAAAAGATACTGTTGAAGAAAATCTAAGCATTTTTACTGTCCTAAAAGGTGGTGACAGACACAAAAATTTTAAAAAAAACACACATCATTGTAAAACCAATACATTCTTTTGCTCCGCTCCGAATTTAATATTATTCGTAGGTACTTGAATGTTTTAAGTACCTATATTATTATATTTTATACAAACAATGATATTTTTAAATGCATCTTTTTCTGGAAAAAATTATATAAAAATTACTATTTGTCGGATGCCGCTAATCGCAAGTCGCAATACAATAATTATTTTATGAGATAAATTTAAATTTTATAAATTCTTATATTTTTAACACAATAAATAATATATATTATACTAGCTGATCCCGTTTACTTCGTTAACCTTTAAGGTACGGTTTCCTAGACGCGACCTGTCGCCGCGACATGTCGTTAGTAAATGCTTACACGAAAATCATATAGACGGGTTTGCAACGCGCGACAAACCACGACGACCGAACTTTGGGTCGCGGCGACCGACGTCACTACTGCTCCGGGCGAACACGGACATATCGCCGTCGCCGTTTAGCCGTCGCCACTTCGCCGTAAAACCATTTCACCGTCGCTGTTTCGACGTGAGGCCACTTCGCCGTTAAAAAAAATTAACAAATTACACAAAATACACATTTTTCAATATTAATTTTTCGTCATATATGTACATAATAATAATAAAATAATTTCTAGCATTATAAGATACCTGCATAACATACGTCAATATTTAATTATAATAAAAGATCATTTCATAGATACATTCTGAGAAATTCCTAGCAAAAATGATGTTAAACTAAGGTTATTGTAGTTACTCACAATTTTAATCAATCTTTTATCGACGTCTAAATATTTTTTTTATTTTTTTGGTGGACTTCTTCCCGCTTCCAATTGTGCGTAGTATGTATCGCGGCCAGATTGGATTTTACGCAGACTTGAAATAAACGACCACAATGTTGGATGGTTGACACCCATTTCAGTATTTAATCTAAAGAATATTATGATTAAAGATATATTTTTGTGATTGTAATTAATTGTTAATTATTTTTAATTACCTCCGGTTGGCAGCTTCGGCATAATTATTTGTTCGGTCTTGACTAACGATAACTTGATCGTGTACATTCCATAACGACGGGGTGAAAAGTGCTGGTTTACGTCCATTTTTTGATCTATTTTTGCGGCCAATGTAGTTATCCTCAAACCAATCCAAAAGATCTTGTAACTCGTCTGGTAAATACTCTGCTAGCTCATCTACGGCTTTATCAATGTTTAGATTGTTTATTTGGTAAAAGTGCATAGATTAGAGGATGTACGCCTCCAATATCTTTAGCCAGTATTACGTAAACTAGCGCAAAAAGAGGAGTTGCAATCTTAAATGTTCCGTCACAAAACCATATTTTTTATCGTTCTAAAATATCTAAACTGCTTAATCTACCAAAAATTAAAATTCTATCTAGACCTGGCCCACTATCATCGAGTAAAAATTTCTCATTCACACCTTCAGATGGTGAATAAATTGTGTACGCTTCTGGAATTATTAGAGAAATTAAATCTTTAGGTGCAGAGGGAGCTTTTACAATTTGTTGACGTATACGCCTAATTTTTTTTTTTTTTAACGCACAGGTTGACGTTAGCGTACCCTAAAAAATATTATAATTATATAATTATTTTTTTATTGGCGCAAAAATATTGTATAACTTACTTTAGCTGCTTGTGAAGGTCCAGTCGTACATTCGTTCAATACTATTGATGTAGATTCTAGCGTTTGCTGGGATCGAATTTTAATTTTAGTCACTGCAACTTCTGCTTCAACTGCCGCGGCATCTGAGTCATGAGAGTGCTCATTGATTCGTTTTAACACTATCAAATCGTCTACATCTGTGTGAACTCGAGATTTACAGATGTTTCTTTTCCTACATCGCCAAAAACGTTTTTTCCCGTCTGCACTAAACGCATCGAATACAAACATAAAACCATTATCTACAAAAACGTTACGCCGACGAATAGTTTCTACGCCTGCCATTTTGGTACTGGCGAGCAAATATAAATTCCATAATACACACTACATAGTCCACTAAGAAATATCTGTTGGATGTTATTTTATTATTATCTTAATTCTACCTATTTTCGTTTATCGCTAAACGCGATTATAAGCTATGATAAATCTCATACACACAAACTCTGCAGCACATCTAAACCTTCAGATATCAGAACATGATAAACTATTTAGGGCCCATATTACAATAGTCGATTACACTTCGATTATGTATATAACTATTGTAATACGGCACTTAGATGTCGATAAAAGATTATTATTATTAAATATTATTGACGAAAAATAAAAATATTTTTTATTATTAGGTATTGAATATTGGAATGTGTATAATGTGAAAATGTGTATAATAAATAATAATAAGTAAAATACTCCAAATTTTTTTTAACGCCGAAGTGGCCTCACGTCGAAACAGCGACGGCGAAATGATTTTACGGCGAAGTGGCCACGGCGAAATGGCAGCGGCGAAACAGCGACGGCGATTTGTCCTAGATCGTGCTCCGGGAGCAGTACTGCGCGACAAGTCGTCGCGACATTCACAGCGATCGTTGTGAATTTTCAGCAAAACATGGCGTCTACTTTGGTTTTTTCTGCAAGAGGTACAAAAGAATTAATTTCTTTTTAATATTTCAGATAAAAATTATAAAAATATAATACTGAAAGAATTAAATATTATTAATATTTGGAAAGACATATCTTTGAAACTTGGAAAGTCAGGTAATGTGGTCTATATTATATATATATAAAACGTATATTATGAAAATAACAATAATTAATATTTTGTAGTGGATGTAACTAAAAAGAGGTGGAAAAATATTCGAGAAATAAAAGAAAACCATCTAAGGGTTCAGCGGCATCTATAAAAAAAAAGTGGACATTAGCACCTCATCTTGGTTTTTTAGAGCAAGTTGAATGCCAACGAAGGTACCTACATTTGATAACTGTTTACTTGTGAAAGTATATTGGTGGAAAAATATAATGAAACAAATATTTACACGACGATTTATTTTGTTTTAACGCTATGCTGGTATTTTTTCCCATGGTAAATTATATGCTTATTTAAAGTATCGAATTATGGAATTAGAATTCAATTTAGTCTATTTATATACTTTTTTCCCTTAGAAAACGAACGTATTATAGTATTCGGTAATTATACATTCATAACTTTAATATTATACTATTATAGCAGGGTTGGCCGGCGAGAACAGACTCGCGAGCCACCAAGTATATTAATAAATATGGAAGAGCCAATAGTATAGTTTATATATATATACATATGTGTGGGTATTTAATATATATATATATATATATATATATATATATATGATATTGTAAATAAGATAAGATAAGGTATCGTATTTAACACATTCGAGACGGACCGTCATATTTTAAAAGTTACGTTTGAGACGAGTCACGTGTTTGGCGCGTTGTGTCTACTATCGGATTTTAAAAATCTATATAAAATCATATACTCACACTATTGTTTTTATGTAACAATCTATCGATAGGAAATATTGTATCGATTATTTATATAAAATAATTAAATTATTTGCTCCACGTGGAGCGTCACTGGAATTTGATTCGTAGCGCCTATTGTATGTTAATAATAAATGGATTTATTTCAATTATTGACGATAATAATTCTTATTATTTCTAAAATAAAATATCCGCAGTAAACATTTTATTATTTTTTATTTATTTTAATCATGTAATATTTAAATTTACAGTTCGACATCGAACGTTCTTCAAACTCAAGAACATGATACTTCCTTTCAAGAACTTGATTATTCTTGTGATGCAGAAGAAACAGACGAAGTATGTTATGAAACGAATGATAACACGCCCACCCAAACATTCGCTAAAAAGCGTAGTTCTACAAAAAATGAAATGTCTGACATGCTCATAAACCGATCAAATGAACATAATTTGTTAATTAAACAAATACAATCCCAAAATGAACAGATTTTAATGAATGTGAATCACGAATTAGATGATATGAATATGTTTTTTAAAACTTTAGCCTTAACAGCTAAAAAATTTCCTAGTCAAGGAAAACGTGAAACAAAAGTTCGAATGTTTGCATTGATGGCAGAATAAGATGAGAAGTATTCAGTACCTGAAAACCCCATTAATTCGTTTCAAGCTATTGGTCAACCCTCAAATGTTCACATTCCAACTGAACAACAATGTTATCAGTCACCAGAATTATTTCAAGAATCTACATCAACAACAGCAAATTCATACTCAGAATCTACAAGTTCTCAATTTAGTTTGTACAATTTTGATGATTCAACCCCGTAAAAGTTGTACTTGTTAGTTTTAAGTGGTATCTTTTTTAATGAACTGTTTTTTTTTATCATTATAATGAAATATTAACATATTTTAATTACTAAAATTCATTTAATTATTTTTAATTTAATAATTATATTTTCCAAATAATACAGAAGTTATTAAAAATATAAATTATTATAATATACTATGGTGCTTACTTAATGTTAACTTTAATATTATTGATAATAATGAACGAAATATAATTAAATTTAATGGGTTAATGAACTACAATACCTACTGAATTACATTTTATACAATAAATAATATAAATGTATTTTCATATATTTTTAAAAGTTTGGTTGCCAAGAAAGAGCACCTTCGTCATTAAAAAATGTTTTAAATACTTCTCTGACCTCGAACCCTTCCATATTTGAAAATCCTCCTCTTCGAGATAGTGGCATCATATTGTTAATAGGCGGTGGTTCTTCCGAATTAAGATCGAAGAAGGGTCGTTTATTTTTTTTCCATGTAACCTTCACGTAGCATATTATGTAGGCAGCAAGCTACCCATACAAGATCGTCAATTGTCGTAATTTCTAAATTTATTGGTTGGTAAAAAATCCTAAAAATTTGACTCAATAGCCCAAAAGCATTTTCGGTCACTCTTCGTGCGCGACTTAGCCTGTAATTGAATACGGATTCTGCAGGATTTTCTCTTTAAGATTTACGAGTGTATGGTTTCATAATGTGCTTATGTAAACGGAAAGCTTCGTCACCTACAATTACATGAGGAGCCACCTTATCAGATCCAAGGAGATTACAATGCTCTGGGAATTTAAAAGTGCCATTTAAAATTTGTTTTCCCATATTGGACTTTAAAAAAATACCGCTATCGCCCTCTTTACCGAATGAACCTATATCGACTGCTACGAACTTGTAATTTGCATCCACCATTGCCAAAAGTACTATGGAAAAGTAGTCTTTATAATTGTGAAAAAGTGATCCAGAATTACTTGGACTTCGGATTCTGACGTGTTTTCCATCAATGGCCAAAATGCAGTTCGGGAAATTCCATTTGTAAGAGAACTCTGCAGCTTTTTGTTTAAAATCAATATTTTTTATATCAGACATAAAAATTGGCATCAATTTAATTTTTAACGCAGCCAGTGTATTTTTTATTATACTGCTCAAATAGCAATGACTTATGCGAAATGAAAACGAGAAAGATCTTATAGATTCGCCAGTGGCAAGGTATCTATAAAATTAAAATTAAAAGATTTTAGTTTTTTTTTATTGATTCAAATATGAAATAAATAAATAATTTACCTTAAAGTGACTGCCAATTTTTCAGCTGGTGTTATTGGTTTTTTTATACGATTCGTAGGTTGTAAAACTAACTGATTTTCTACTAAAGATAATAAAAAATCGAACTGTTGACAATTTTAACGGAAAATTTCACGAAATTTAATATTGTTGTTTTTTAAATGTCTATTGATAAGAATTTCATAAAATCCTTCACTGTCCCGATGCTTAAACATTTCATGTATAGGTTTTCTAATTTTTGGCAATGAAGTAGCACCTATAATTTGGTCTTCTTCTTCTTCTTCTTCTAATAAAAGTGTTAGAAGAATGTTATTATTATTTAAAATATAACTATTCATTGTAAAATTAAATGAAAAAGACGTGCGTACTCGGACAAGTTTGAAAATAAACTAAAAGCGTATGTTAACTACGAACGCTGATTGAAAAGCAGTTCGGCCGCTGCGACTTGTCGCGTCTTGAAAACCACTCTATACAAAATGGGTCTCGGCGACCAGTCGCGGACATCGACCGCGACGACTTGTCGCGGCGACAGTTCGCGTCTAGGAAACCGTACCTTAAATGTACAAAATCTATATGACTCAAACTTTGTTCAATTCGTTATTTTATATTCAGTGTATGTGTATGGTGTTCAACATTTATCTTAACTTTTCCGTTGCCTGGAATAATAATAATTCTGATTCGCAGCAGTATATTATCAGGTAGGCAATTTACCTGCGGTGGATCGCGGACACCGTGATGTTTGTACGTAAGTGTATGATTTAAGTCTAAAGTATCAAAATTATACCTATATGGATTAATATAATCAGTAAATACAAAATACTAACCGTACTAATATCAGATGAATAAAAAAAAACCAAATTTAACCATTTTTAAATTAGTCTGTCTACTTCCAAGAGGTGTAATCCACATACAAACATTCATTTATTTTTATATATATTGACAAAAAACAATAATACAAATCATCAAACATGCCCGATTAACCAATAGCAACCAATATAAATTATAATACACTGTTGCGCCACTGTTTTTTTTTTACATCCAGATTTCCTACTTTTCCGGTGGATTTTGCTAAAATTTTCTTTCGTATTAACCTTCTCCTGGCATTTACAAACATCTTAAAAAAAATTGAGCCGAAACGGACCAGCCGTAAAAAATAAAAATAAAACAATAACAACAATACCAATCAACAAACATGCCCGATTAACCAATACACAAAACACTATTATTATTTTAATGTTAAACTAAATTTTTTATTATTTAATTAATTTTTTCTTGGACAGATGGCGCCACTATTGTATTTTTTTACTTTGAAATTAACTGGTTTTCGGGTGGATTTTCCTACAATTTCCAATCGTTCCAAGTATCTCCAGGCAATTACGAACAACTTAAAAAAAAATTGAGCCAAATCCGTCCGGCCGTTCTTGAGTTTTAGCGAGACAAAGGAACATCAATTAATTTGTATATAATATATAGATTGAAATTATGTTTAAATGTTTTTGATTGGGTTGTTATGAATATTTTATATAAAATAAGAGGACTCGATTTCCGATATTTCATTCTCAAAATCGATAAAATCGTTAAAATTTTGAAAAAACATATGTTTTGGATTTGGGAGGGCTGGGGAAACGCCCGGTGTGGAAAAACCGTTTTTCGGTTGGAAGCGATTTTCCGGAAAATTTGCAAATGGTCGTACGAATGCATACAAATTCCGTACTAAATATTTGAGAAAGGAAATTTTGAAAGAACCTATTTTTATTATTTGGGAGGGCGGGGAAACGCCCGGTGTGGAAAAACCGTTTTTCAGTTGGAAGGGATTTTCCGGAAAATTCGAGAATGGTCGTACGAATGCATACAAATTCCGTACTAAATATTCGCGAAAGAAAATTTTGAAAAAACCTATTTTTAGTATTTGGGAGGGCTGGGGAAACAACCGGTGTTGTACAGTTTACCTCCTGTGTTAACCCTTTCAGATCCAACTGCCATTATAATGGTATTCAGTTTACGAACGGTTATTCGCAGGAAAAATTTTTTGTACGATCCATTTCATTATCAATATAATAAACGACTATGGTAATAACCACGGACTAAGATATACAGGACTGGACACGACAAGGTTGGAGGGTGTGGGGGGGTTGACTACGAAATGTTTTACAACAGGCAGTGTTCGGGGGGATATTTTCCTTTTAGCATTACTAGCGCCGTCCTAGTGGATACTTATGGAACTAGAACACATCATACAAATTTCTAGTTCCATAAGTATCCACTAAGACGGCTCTAGTAATGCTAAAAGGAAAATATCCCCCCGAACTCCGCCTGTTGTAAAACATTTCGTAACCACAATATTCATCTCGTGTCCAGTCCTGTATATCTTAGTCCGTGGTAATAACCACTTTATCTGTTATGATTAATTCTTATCACTTATCACGGAAATAATGTGTACCAACCAACACTGAAATACAAAAATTCCCATGCATTTCCCTCAAATTCAAACGTAATTCAAATTTATGTATTTTTAAATTCAAATAAATAAAAATAAATATAATAAAATAAAATAATATAAAATAATATAATATAATATTTTAAATAATAACTTTTTGGAAACGGTTTCTAGAGTAGTATTTCTCGAAGAACAAATTGACCAAGCCCGGATCAGTTTATATTTTTGGCAAAAAAACCGACTAAAATAGTATAACGCTGGTGTGTTAGACAGAATTAGATAGAATCGGAAAAATACAATGTACTAAATAAAATTAGCCATACATGGACACATGGTACATCACCATAAACACCATGTTATTTACCTATTCATTGCATTTTATCTTATCATAATATTGGGTCATAAAAGTAAAATTTGGACACTCAAAAATTAATTGGGGATAAACGTGTATATTTATAATACTATTATACTTTATTATGCTTTTCGACTTCAGGATTATTGGAATATTGTGTTATGTAATATTGACTAAGATTTTTAATTATTCTATTAAGAGAACGCCACACCCGCATGTGTTGTCTCCATCTTACAAACGCGTAACATATCAAATTTTACCCTCTGCAGATCACGTTTATCTCCGTAAGTTTAAAAGTTAGAGTGAATTGACCTCTTATTAAATATAAAGGTAAGATTATTGTTGAGGGCATCTCATAGGCATTTTATTATTTTTTAATTTTAAAATGAATATCGTGTATTTTAAGATGTACAAACAATTTACAATTTTAAAATAGTAATAATTCGCTCTAAAATTAAAATATAATAAAAAGGATATGAGATGCTCTCGATAATAATCTTACCTTTAAATTGAATAGGAGGTCAATTTACTCTAACTGTTAAACTAAAGGAGATAAACGTGATCTGCGGAGCCTACAATTTGCTATGTTACGCACTTGTAAGACGGAGACAACGAATGTGAGTGTAGCGTCCTCTTAAGAGGACGTGTCACCCAAAAAAATCACTCGAAAAATTCCTTTAAAAACATGTTTGCGCGTTCCAATAACATGGGTTACTGAGTGGTTTTATCATAAAAACACCTATGAACAAAATTGTAGAGGAGAAATTTATCTGGTTCCGTAAGAAGCCCGATTTTTGAAATTTTCATTTCTAAGTCCTAAAATTAACTTCTGGAAAATGAAAAAAAAGTGTATTATTAATCATGATATATTTCATGATGTTTTAAAGATATCAAAAATCGGGCTTCTTACGGAACCAGATAAAATTCTCCTCTACAATTTTGTTCATAGGTGTTTTTACGATTAAACCACTCAGTAACCCATATTATTGGAACTCTCAAAGTATGTTTTATAAGAAAACTGCAGAAAATTACGCTCGGCAAGTGCTGCGCCCGTAGTCACGAAGCTCCCGGGTTTGGAGTCATCGGACAGGCCTAGCGACCAGTCTTCCGACTACAACTACGGACCTTATGTTAGCACTAGGTGCTAGTCAAGGGCCGCAGAGGCATACGACCGCCAACCGACGGACCCTCCCCACACAGCTGCATGGCCAGAGGACCGCCGGAGACTGACGACCGCACGTCGTCTAGGGACCACGAGCACCGGACGCGCACGGAGGAGTTCCCCGGCGCGCCCGTACCATCCGGCTAGGGCATACAGGTGCCTTTCGCCACCCTGGTGAGGCCGCAATCTATCCACTTTGCTTTCCGTTTTTGGTCACGGACAACCTTCGCTGTATATAGCTCCAACGATAAGCTGGGTGAGCGCTAAGGAGGGCTGTGCTTTCCCGGCTGACTGTCGCCGTACGAGTCCGCCCAGTCCAGTCACTCGGCCGCCTTCCCCTGGCCAAGCGTATGGCCTATAACCACATAGTATGCTCCTGCAAACTGCCACTTCGAAACCAATCCGCCGTCGGTCGAGGCAGTGTCCACCACGACCGACGTGTGAGGGCTCGGTGTTAATCTCTCAACACCGAGGGGCCCCCTCACATCCCGAAGCACCATTCTCACCTCCCGTAAGGTAAGGCACATCATTGGTAGGATGCTCGGACGAAGCTTCGTCGGCGAGATGCCTCAGCTTATGATCCTCCCGAGATTTGGGCCGTGTACCACGGGCTCACGGTGGGCCCGACTCCGCCTCCCAGAGGCGTCACCAGGTGGCTAAGCCCAGTGACCGACCCGCTCTTCTCGAGGTCGCGGTCAGAACCTCGATCTACGCCCCAAGGCGTCACCAGGTGGCTAAGCCCAGTGACCGACCCGCTCTTCAAGAGGTCACGGTCAGAACCTCTCAACGCCCTAGTCCCCGGAGGTTTCGGTACGTCCGCGCCCCAGGCGCCGGCCCCGTCTGGCCTGTAGTCAGTGGCGTTCGATACTAGCTTTGCATACCACCACCCCGCGCGCATTAACGGCGGAACCGCACCATGGTCAAAACAGGTTCTCTATCGCAGCCGACCGCCCGTGCATAGTTTATAAATAACCAGATAAGAAAATGATTATTATATTTGTGACAAATATTATTTAATTTGGTTCGATTTTATATTTTGTATCCGTATCCGAATTTTATACAAATAAAAACTATACTTTTGTTCTTCAAGTAGGTAATACGGCTTATTGAAGCGGTTTACAATAAAAATACCTATTATAAAAATTGTAGAGGAGAATTTTTTTAACAATCGTAAGGAATCCGATTTTTGATATCGTATTCCAATCGTCCAATATCGCATGGTAAATTAACATTTTTTTTTTTTTACTTTTTATCGATTAATTAT